CAACATTTGATTTAATTTGTGTTTATTTAGGCTTTTAAGTGACCTGTTTTTTATTTTATACAGAAGAAAAAACCTCAGGATGCTTTGTTTGTAGTTTGGCCATGTGTCTCATGTCCGCAGCCTTTAATATGGAATTGTTTGGAAAACCTCCCCAGTGAGCAGATGGCGTCTGCCAGGAAGAGAATGAAGCTGAAACCTGGGCTCTGTACACCACCGTGCACACGCTTCCCCGTTTCCAGCACGAGGCTTTGTGAAAGGGGAACAACGGAGGTCTGTCGGGAATTTAACCACGGGTCTGTTCTGGGAAGCAGAGCACAACACGTGTGTTTATTGCAGTCTTGTTCTTGGATCCATGCGGCAGCTACAGTAAAAGACGTGGATGGTGGGGGGGGGGTCTCTCTGCAGACTGGAGAAGAGGATCAAGCCCCCCACCCTGAAAGGATTTCAATGGCTTTGATCATCCCTCAAAAGAATGTGATGTTTTTATTAAATGACCCTTTGCCAGCGGCCTGAAATGTAAAGAAGCATTTGTATCCTCTGGCCAAGCTACAACATGCTGCTGTGTCCTCGTGTATTATTAAGCAAGAGAATGAGGCAGTGCTCTAGTATCTCCTCATAGCTGTTTATACACTCTGGCCCATGACATATGAGAACTTAACATCTTACGCTGAGTCTGCACTTACTAAACTAACTTGCAGTACAAGATAAGCCAGGCAGAGCTCGGAGAAGTAAATCTAAGGCTTTCTGAATAAGCCCTGCACCTCTCGCCCGGCTACAATCTACACATATGGAGTATTCCTCTGAATCTCTCTCTGGGGGAGATTTCTTAAGCACGCTTTGTAGCTAGATCCAGGTAAGGCTATCAGTCAGTGCAGTTGTGGGGAACATGCCAACAAGAATAACCCGACGTAAGACATAAAATGTATCCCATGGGAGCTCGGAGGCTGGAACTGAATTAAAAAATCTCTCTTCTGCTGAGTCAGACTCTTTAGATTATTACCCTCTGATATGAGGAACATTTCCCCTCTTGGCTGTAAGTTCAGAGGGAATGCAGACAATGGCATATTTGGCTGTAATCACACCCCCCCCTCCAACTTTGAATTGAAGCTATGAGAGTAAGATAGCACAAAGCTAATCTCTTGCCCCACAAAAAAGGCCTGAGGGAGAGAGAGCCTGAAATGGAAGTGATATTAATAATTATAGTCTTCACGAGTCCGGTGTCATTGTTTTGTCTAAGGAGCCTTGACGACTAACAGACAAACTGCGTACATGCAGATTAAAGCACAATGTACATCCCTGTCAACAGAAATAATGGCCTTGGAGTAACAGCCGTCCATGCTGAAGTAACCTATTAAAGTTTGCACAGCAGGAGCCTCACATCAGCACTTTCATACGCCCATCTCCAATCACGCCTCCAGTGCCAGGAGTGTGCACATCTGCACAGCACAGTGACAATCGATGGTTCGCACAGCGTTTACCCCCCAAATATCAACCAGCCATCCCCCCAGGCCAACCCCTGCCCCAACAAAGCACCACCCAGCCAGGGTGCACCCCCCATACGTGATTCAACTTGTTCCAGGGCTAAGGGGGAGACACCGAGAGAAGAAGGGAGGTGGGGATGAGATGAATGTGGGGGAGCTGCGACTGTTTGCATCCTGATGTTGCACAAACTGGCTGGTATTACTGCACAGACCCCCCCTCCACGTCTATCCGATGTGTGCTTTTAGAGATGCAACCTAAATTGCATTTAAAACCTTGAAGCTGCAGCAGTTGTGATATTGAGTCATGTTTTTTTTTTTATAATCTTATTTTGTGAGACTTGTCTGTGTGCGGCGCAGCAACGTAAGAAAGAAAAGAAGCTCCACGGAAACGCGTAAAAACAATCAATGCATGCACAGTTCTGGGCGTTGCACTCCTGACAGGCAACGCACACATACACGTATCTACTTTTCAAAAGCTGCCACGAATCAATCATCAATTTTAAGCATTGAAACTGTTTCTTTTTTGCATGCACCCCCCCTTGTAGATTTGCATAATTTCCCTGTTGACACTACTCCGTCTTGAGGATGAAGTAAATGTATGTCACGACGTTTTTTATTCCAAACATTTGATCGAGATAGATGGCCCATTTTTTTCAGGTTGGGTGGCTGCACTTACCCCTCCATCCTGTCCGTGCACGAAACAAGGAATCCCTTTTCTTTTATTATAACAAGTGACCCATATCCAAAAGCAAAAACGGTATCTTGTCGGCTGCTGGGATGAGGAGGGGGATTTCCTCGGCAATTGAAAAAAAAAAAAAGAAACTGGGGGTTTGTTCTTCCTCTTCTCTCCTCAGATCAACATGTGAACAATGTTTCTCAACAGTAAATCCAGAGGGAATCCACGCGCAATTTCGAGGCTGCGTCGATGCGCCGGAATCATTGCGAGCGCTGTCCACGGACAAAGTGGTGCTGAAAGTCTCAAGTCCCCCCCACCCACCCCCCAACTTCTTTCAGTGTGTGAATGGGAGAGAATAAACAAACGGCTCGTCCAGGTTCCAGAGTGTAGAGCCCCTCATATGATACCGCCCCGCCGAGGAGAGGATCGGATTCCTACGGGATAATGGAGCGTAGAGACGCGTATCCCGTACCCGAGGCGAGAGCACTTCCCCCGACTGATGGACTGGAGAGTGCACGCGCGCTGGAAGTGATTGATGTTGAATGCATCGCAGCACACCGCCTTTATCAGGGGGAGAATGCACCATCAATGGGTGTGTGTGTGTGTGTGGAGGGGGGAGTGAATGCCAGATTACAGCATGTACTACCAGCAGCTCTACGGCAGTGGCTGCACACGCACACACACACGCACACAGCCTTTTTTTTTTTTTGCATTAGTGAAATCTCAAGTCTCAGTTAATCGCACACATTCAAACTCCAGCGCCACCAACACTTAAGGAAGTTGAAAGACTCACATTTGATCTCTTCAACATCATTTATACACGCAGCAATTTCTCTTTTAGCCCCCGTGTTTAAAATGGTGATGTCTTAATGTGATGATATTCTGTGACTGTTACATTTTCGGCAGTGTGACGGCAGGCAATCGCTCCGATTTCCACGGTGACGACGACAGGAGGATCCGGTGTCATTATTTCAAATGTGAAGCTTCTGGGTGGACGTGCACGTTACAGGTGCTGCAGTGTGAAGAGTCTCCGTGACGAATACATCAAGTCCAATCACATGAGTGCGAAAACTCAATCTGGGATGCTGGGATATGTGTGTGTGTGTGTGTGTGTGGTATCACTCATGTTGTGGGGACCTACCCCCAGTCACATTATGAGGTCCTCTTATGGGGACAAAAAGCAATAATCCTCCATTTTTAAGGTGAAGACATGTTGAGGCTAGGTTTAGTTTAGGAAAGTATTAACTATATGGTTAGGGTCTCCAGGAAGTCAATGAAAGCCAATGCAATGTCCTGGGACGACTGTGATTGTGTGTGTGGTCCAGGCATTACTCATGTTGTGGGGACCTAGATCAGTTTATCAGTCACATTATTGGGACTTGTCTTTCTTATGGGGACAAAAAGCTAGTCCCCATAAAGTGAATCATGTTTTAAGGTTTGGGTTGGGGTAAGGCAAATAGTAACTATGAAAAGGTTAAGGCTAAGTCTCCAGTTTATCAGTGTGAGTCATTAAAATGTTTTGAATTCATGGAGAGTGTGTGTGTGGTCCAGGTATGTCTCATGTTGTCAAGAGCTAAATCTGTTTTCACAGTAACACTAGGGGAACAAATATCCAGTCTCCTTAATGCAAATCAATGAGCGTCCTAATAAGGATAGCTGCACAAACCTCTGTGTGTTTCCACTCTGACTGACAGCAACCACATTCTGCAGCAGAGTATTGTGTCCAAGGGCATGTCTCAGTATGTCCAACATTATCCAGCAAAAAAGCGAGAAATTAGTTTTAAACCGAGCATGGAATGTTATTATTTGAGACTTTAATGTGAACAACGGAGGCTTATTTCGGCCATTAACTTTCAGAAGTTTGAAAAGTGTGTTCCAGGGAGACAAAGAACTTCCTCATATGTCATTTTAAGTGCGGCGTGCAGCACACCCTGCAGAAGGTGCAGATTAATGTTCCATGATGTCCAATGGAAGTCTCATGGTGATAATTTGGCCTTTTGCTTCCCTGTCGGCGCAGCTGCTCTTTCTGCCTTCCTGCTCTCTCGGGTTGAGGACGCCTTCACAGGTCTGAGTGGGTCACACCTGTGGAGTGTTGGACGGGCTCCACCACATCAAGAGAGATGTGAGAAGAGGAAGGGGTTGGGAGGGTCCTTTGAGGGGCGTGTGTCAGATCTCCGTTGGGGCCTCTGAAGCAGCTGAGCCCCTGAATATTCATCCCTAACCTCTGCTGGAGCAAATTCCAGCTAAATGACTCCACTGACTGATGGTCCTGTGAGCTGCCAGGGGACCATATAAGTCAAGGAAGAAAGAAAAAAAAAATCACATGGCTAACTTGTGCACATTATTGAACAGAATGTTTTACAACTTTTTCATTACCCCACATAGCATCAGTGCTCCATCTGTCAGGTCCTCAAACCGCCGCTCTATTTTTGTTTAGTGTAGTTAGCATAATAAGTAAATAATTTAGCTGTGGAGGATGGGAAACAAAAGTTATTTCCACCAGGAGACCTATTCCTGCTCTGCTTTCTGTTGCAGTGCGCCAGTACTCAGCCTTGTGTCTTCTGGGTGGATAACATGCTACGCTACTGAGTCCTCCCTGGGCCCACTGTGCAAGGCAAACTCTGGAGATTACTTGTTTCAATTAGCCATGAGCCGGAGAGAATTTAAGCCATGTTAATTCCAGTCACTTGTGAAAATCCCAGTGAGAAAGAAGAACCACTGAGGCATAATCACCTGCCCCCAGACGTCTCTCATTTCATGGATACATTAAAGGAATTACTCGACATGTAAATTCCGAGGTTTTGAGATTTTCTGTTTAGTGACGGGATATTCTTTTCAAACTTCTTAGTTTAGAATGACCTCTGTCTATGACAATTGGTTTCTGTTTGACCCTCTCACTTATTATGAGGATTGTTTTTGCCTCTTTTGACTTTAAAGAGAATTCAGAGCTGCTTCACTAAATGTTGAATTAATCTGACGAAGGAGGAGCTGCTGTAAAAGTTTTCGCTAAAAGAATGACGTTGATGAAAAGAAGAAAGAGGAGGAGGAGGAGGAGTGGAAGTCTCTCTGCATCACATAAATAACAATCTAATGTGATGTTTGTGTCATCAACATCTGTGACGTCTTATATTGAACTCTGCGTGCACGCAGACTGTATCTGTTGACATTTGATTATATAAAATTGAGTTTCAGACTCTAACACACCCACGAGTTGGGAGACAAGTCGCCTGTTTGATGCGATATTCTACAAAGATGAAAGAGGTCGGCCAGGGCAGAAAGATCGGCCATATGTGTGAGTGATAAATATTTAACTTTGATTGGCTGACAGGTTTCACATTTAACTTTTGAACCTTTAAAGACTTTTTTATAAAAGAGACTGGTGACTGTGTAAATTCTGTCTATGGTGCAGAGTGTGCTCAAGGAAAAACTGTCGGTTATAATTCATGTGAAGAATACCGAGATGTTCAGACAGACGGAATCATGTCACTAACCACTAGAATCATGTGACCAACCGAGGTTCAGGGTAAGTATTAATAAATAAAAACCATGATGAACTGCTTACAGAGGTTTTCTGACGTTATTCCCTTCTTTGTGTGAAAATGGTTTCTTGTTCATTGTTTTAATCGAACCTGCTGATTATAAGTTTGTATTTAGCAAAGTTCTTTGACTGCAAAAGACGACAACTCGTGTTTTTACAAAACACAAACAGATAAATAACAAAAGTAAAACACAGATAAGAAACAAACTGCCAGTTCTTACAAAATAATGCCCCTTTGCATGTCGGTCGATATGTCTAACATGTCCAGAGCTGGGTTGATGGTCAGAAATACAGAAACAACACCAAGTGAGGTCGAGGAAGAACCAAAATGAGGTTTACTAACAATTCAATTCAGAGAAAAGCAGTAAACATTAAAGTATAAGCAATAATGCAAAAGATCTTATATTTTCACTCCTCCAATGTTGAAATGTGCTGCTTGTCTTGATCTTAAATGACTGTAATCTGCCTAGTTTTTGTTTTTTGAGCGCTTACAGACAAAGTAGGACATTAATGAAGACAACGTGGACTACATTGTCTTCTTATAGCAATATGCATATTTTGCTGCTTTACCCAACATGGGAATTAAATGTGCTGCTGAAATTATTTATGGCAGACATCACCCCCACATGTCTTTGTAAATAACTGTGTGCAGATGATAGTGTTATATTGCAGCTGGCAGTCAGATGTATGTTTCCACCATAATGCCAAAAATCACAAAAATGAACCATGATGTACAGTATGTAGATGTTTCATGTAGCTCTGATCTAAAAATATAATTTTTCTGTGGGTGTGTAGAGTGGAAGCAGACTCATTGCACTTTTCCTCACTGAAACATCTGAGCCTTTTGAGTTTCTGCTCATTGCTGGAGCATATTTCTGCCATAATAGTTAATAATTAATTTTAATTAAACTAATTTAAATGCGGGACAAAATGTACTTTCCATGGTGCAGTAATTTACTTTACATATGTGCATTTATAAGCCTGATGCCAGCGTCACCATATGAGCATGAGACTTAAGGTCCTTGTAACTTTTTTAATCACCCTATTTCTCTAATTATGACATATTTTGTTGTGATATTTCACTGATTTCATAATCCATGAACATACTGTGCACATAGTTTCTGATTTATAAATAAGTTCTAGTTAAACATCAGTAGAAATGAGTTTGGACTGGTTGTAACTGGCATGAGAGCAGCCCCCGGTGGTAAGGTTAAGACATTAATTCATTTATTATTCTATCTATTTGAAAACTGTATCTTATTTAAATAGTATTTTGGATCTATTTTCAGGCCAGTTAACAAATAACTAGCAGATAAATGTGGTGAGTGATACATTTGTTGATAAATTAATGACATGAGGAGTTAAAGTACAATCAGAGCGATGTGCGTTTGATTATTTATAGATTTAAAGTAGATTTTTTTGATGGAGAAAGGTGGATATGCTTATTCAGTCTTTTAATCCTTTCTTTTCCAAAAACATCCAATGTAATTGTATTGAGCAATATCTCTGAAACTAATGATTTTAGATTAAGCCAATTTGCTGATGCCTTTTAGCAGAGGACACCATACAGAGAGAGGCCAATGTCACTTTAAACCCAGAAAATCACAACACAGTAAATTGCTTCTCGTATGTGTGAAGCTGAGCACAATCTATTCTGGCCTCGGGCAGAACA